TCACTCGTGGCGACCAACTGGATAATGTTAGGTCAAACGATTACAAACACGGTACATGAAGCATCCTTAAACGCACGTTCATACTCTAAACAAACGAAATCCGGGAGTACCGGTATGTGTCATACTATCTCACATCCTGATTACGTGACAGAATTGTACTCAGTTGTTCAGTCATTAATTCGTAGAAACATCTGCCGTTAAGAGGCTAATGATAAAAATCCCTCATTTATTCAAGGTACGTGACAAATCACATCCACTGCACAGTGCAACGCAGTTTGCACCTATCCTGCCATGTGCCGGCTACTCCAATGAAACGCCTTAACTTACTCACTGAATGAAAGCTTCACATTTGAACTCCCACAATCTCTTCTGTCCCTCACAAAGGTGTGGAGCGTATTTTTTATCGCCAACTAATTGCTCTGGTGTTTCCATGGCGCTTAGCATAATCTTTTCAGCAGATTTTCCAACAAGATGGCTCACGTAATGCGACCAAATTTACTCGGCAATCCTAGTAACCTCTGCGTATTATATCTATTAGGAGAACCAGCTCCGAACGGAACGGGACTACACAATGGAAAAACCGTTTTCGTCGAGACAGATTTCATTGGTTGTTCTCCACTCGCCCTTGACACATGAGTTGTAGTCTTAGTATCACTTTTTGACCGCTTGTACCCGACAATGATCGATAGAACAGCCGGTTCGCAAGTTCATTGACTTTTTCTGGTTTGGCCAAGCGCACCAGGCTACCAATCGGCTATCCAGACCGGGGTCCACGGTATTAAAATGGCATTAATGGACTGTGGTCCACAACAAATTGGCGACGGAATAATTCGAAATCGAACTCCACAATGCCACTTTCACACGAAGAACTAATTCTGGTTTTGCAACAAAAGGAGGCTAAATTTGAAGAGTCTCAATTCAGGGAAATCCTTCACAAATTGAAAAGTCGAAGCCCTGCAGCAGCTGAAACGAAGGAATACTCTGTTAACGCTGTTGCAAACAGTAAAGTTGAGTTTCCCTACGATGCAGAATCCAATTCCGCCTTCGAATCATGGTTCCACAACAATATCACGTGCCACAGTGAACAACATTGCACTTCAGTTTCATAACTTTTGGGCATACCTGGAAATCGCGAACATTTACATTCTCTAATTATGATTTATCAAGTCTGCTTGAAGAAGTGCGTTTCCGGATCAGGCTGACTACCGGAGATATTTTTACCTATCCGTAATGATGATTTTACCAGATCCCCTGAATCACTAACAGGCCTATACATGAATGCAGTCCTGGCGACCAAATAGCTTTGCTCAGATTACTTAGCCTACTTAAAAGCAAGATAAGTGAAGGAAGGAACCGAGGCTGTCAACATCTGCTGCCTTTTTTGCACACCCACTGCGCTTTCTTGCCAAAATTTGACATCATTTGATTATTTTGGCCAGGTTTCATGATATCTGTCGTTTTGATTGACCTAAGGATGAGACCAAATGCAACAACCCTTGTTTGAAATATTTTATTCAGGTTGCTTGCGATACTTGTCCTAAGCTAATGGATGGGTTTTAATTCCAAATTATCATGAAGCGGGCGCTGATAAGTGGAACGGATAGATACTCACAAGAAGTATGGCCAAAACGATTCATCGGTACAGATTTTAGACACACCATGGCATAGAATGAGGTGCCCGCTTTCTGTCATAAAACGATGATCAGATAGCTTCACTGGAAAGGTCATGTAAACTGATCAGCCACTGTATTTTCCAAAAAGGCGACTATGTTAGTGTGTATATGTCACTCAGTTGGTAGATATATGTCTCCGAAAAGTAGCAATGCTTAACTCTTCATTCGTTTAACGACCGGAGTAAACCAATCTACATCGAAACTAAGAGACCACCTCCCGAAGAAAAGTTGTCAGAAGTTCCCTCGGACCTCACTGACCATTGGAAGATGATTCAACGGTGACGGATTCCCAGTCAAAGGATGCTAAAACTGATGCCTTGTTTTCAGCCACAACCGCTCGTTCAGGACGGCATCGACAATAAATCTTCTGATAAGCGGTGTACTTCGCCCGAGCTGTTTTGTCCCGTGGAGCGTTCCGTCGTACCGTGCCTAAATCCGACAGGGTCTCTTTGAACTTCCCCAGCGCCACACATCGAGTTCTATAACCTTGGTGACATCCTCGAGTGCATATACAAAGCATTCTGTGCGAAGGTAAGCAGGACTGTGATTCAAGAAATATATTGAAGTTTCGTAATGCACCACTCAAAAGGTCGCTGAAAATTCGTCGACAGCCCATGACCGGTTTTGCACTTCTTTGGTCCCATCAGGTGGGCGCAGACCCGAGGTTTCGTCAGCCTTATGTTCTACTTGCAAACAAACTGCACAAAATTAGCGAAATACACTCACTTACAAACTAATTTGGTCTTTCGAGAGACTCACCTGACCTGGAACCAGCTGAATCTCCTGTTTGTGGTGTTTCCAGGTAACTGAATGTGCTTCACCAGGCCTTTCATTTTTCACTCGCCACGGTATTCGATTGCCAATTCCTCAACTGCAGTGCTTTCGTGTAATTTCCAACAATCCTATCATATTCTCCATTTTCAATAATTTATTTGCTTCTTCTTTCAAACGCGTCAGCTTTTTTCGGTGGCTTCCATCAGCACTATCGGATGGCAGATTGTGATGTCGAACAAGTTTGCCAGCCGTAAAAGATCGAATGAGTAAAAATGCAGTGGTAGCACTTCGCATTTTCAGTAAAAAGGTAGTCTTTGAAGAACTGTGTGTGGACAAAATCAATAATGTGCCACATATTCAGGAAAAAGGTAATTTGCACAAGATGTTGGATATACTTAGTGCGCTTAGGTAAACAGAGAAAGCTGAAATAAGTGAACGCAGCGTCATCTTAGAAGGATATACGGGGAAGTGTATTGTTGTGCGCTAGTAGTAGAATGTACCTCGTTCGGAAAGAAAAATTCGCCATTATGTGGTCTGGCGCAGTTCAAACTTTGACGGATTCGCATAGTACCAAAAAATTACGGTTTTTCTATGGGGCTTCCCCATGCGGTAAATCTTCACCAGCATAATAGAGGTTTGCATCTTGTTTCATAAATTCACACCTCAGTTACCTGAATCCCTAGTGTCGTGATTTGCTCACATTTATTGATTAGGTTTTCCCATATTCGGCGATATTGTGCGCCTCGTCATCCAAAGAAAAATGTAAGTTTGATTTACTACCACACAGGGCGTTTACCTTTGGCAAATTCTTCTCAAGATTGCTTCGTCTAAAGGACAACCTTGCTCGAATGATTAATTGCAACGCAACAATCCCTTTGGCAAGGTAGACAGTTTGAAACGTGCCTTTTCCTTAATAGAACTTTTTTCCGAGTCACCTTTGATCACTCATGATAAAGTTGGATTGTTTTTTTGTATTTCCAAATATCCATGTATGTTCATTCAAAAAAAATTGTTGAAAAAAAAGTTACACTCACATTTAGTCGACCACGTTTTTACAAAGCAATAAATCATGCAAACAAGGTATTGATAGCTAATGGTGAGGACACCTTGATCAATTGTGTAGAACCTTCCAAAAATATGAATCGCCCAATTGCGTGAGGTAAAACCCTCGTGAATTCAAAGAGTAAATTTTTCGAAACCTGGGGTTTTACACGTTCGCCAGATTCTCGAAGCCTTTGTTTACATTGCACAATGCTTTTTTCAAACTCTACAAATGTGTTGACTATTTCGATGTCGTGATACGTACAGGCATTGTTGTTCATAGTCAACGCAAGTTGAGGAACCCTGCGCGTACACCGAAGGGGGTGGGTCGATTTCAGTTTTATGTGAAAACGGAATTGAATTCACGTAATATCTCTACCAGGCACTCGCAGTATTGATTGCCAGCCAATTTCTGAAAACAAAATGGAGTTAGTGTGAGATGAGCTATTTTATGGGCTTATTTATAGGGTGTTTGTATAAAACTCATTGTTATGTTCACTCTTATTATAGATCGACCGTTTTGGAATGATCGAGAACTATAAATGGATGGCGAATGAAAAATTTCTCCCCGTAGTTAACGTGAATGTTCTGTGTGTTCTTTGGTAAACGATCAACCCGTGCAGGCATAATCATGAATATTTCAGGAAAAACCGAGTGATAAGATGGATAGAGTAAGCTTAATCAAATTGATTTGTTATCTGAATTTTACGAGCGACGTATGACCCACCCTTGACAAACTGCCTAGACACTCGTTGGTTTGAAAGCGCCGTGTAACCATAAAGGAAACTACTTTCAAGGTTGCTGAAAACCCTTTGACAGCCAACGACCGGTTTCGCCCTTCTTGGGGCTCATCAGGTAGGCGCAGTTCCCGGGTTTCCGTCAAACTTATGTTCTATTTGAACCCAAATTGGACTGTTTTCGAGAAATACACTCATTTGCAAATCAATTCGGTTTTCACGAGAGATTCAACTGAATCTCTCGTTTGTGATATTCTACAACTGAATGTGCTGCACACAGGCCGCCTCATGATTCAGTTGGCACACTATTTGAGATATCGCAGTATATTTTCATATCATAAACGAGAGATTCAGTTGGGTCTTTTGTGATTTGCAAATGTGTGTATTTCTCATCGTGCAACAACTTTGAGATGATTAGAGGGTTAGTGGGACGGATGTGGGGTGGCCACCCTTAAATCTAACATCGTAGTTCATTTCCAATACAGAACTCAGGCTTATGCAGCGGCCAGAAACCATCAATTAATGGTCGAATCTTATCTATTGACAATTTTTTACATTCACTGCAAAAAGTTATAGTCTATGGACAACGTGGTACTTAGCATTGGGCAATAACATAAAGGAAGCTCTTTGCTACAAATGGCGTATCCAGAAACTCTTTTGGTTGCATTGCCTCAGTGAGGACAACAGTTTTTCGCAAATGAATAGTAAGTATCTTGTACATTTCAAACCAGCAGATCGACTTTTTCTGATCGGAATGCCACAATGGGTGTGATTTATGAAAGCAAGCCGCTTGGGTATTGAGGTAGGCTGAAACACACAGGTCTACCGTACTATCCTGCGCCTCGTGAATGGAGTTGGCTTGGTTGACAACTTTGCCAATGGCGCTCATACAATGATGTATGTACATCCAGATATTTACTAGCTACGGGTAAAATGTCAACCAGTTGAATGACAGTGTTGTTTTTGTCGCCACACTCCGTACCCAACGATTCATGTTGTTTCTTCCGCCACATTGATCTCTTATTGTGTATTTGTTATTTCAATACACCTAGCCGTCATTCAATTTAGTCCGTGCACTGAACGGAATAAGGGACCTAAAGATTACAGATACTTGATTCATAGACAAGCAACAGCAGTGTACCCTGTAATGGGTGAAAGTCCCGCAATACGGATAAAAGAAGTTAGCACCTCATGCAACCATGTTACTGTACACGAGAGAAAACGCCCCGGGTGACGGAAATAGTGAATTGCCCGCAGGTGCTTCCTAGAGGGCTGTATTAATAGATAATTACTTCGTAAATATATTTAATTTTTTTGGATGGTGATACACAATGGTTCAAACCAGGATAACGGATTCGTTGTTGTTACACGGGGAAAATTCTGGCGCAATATATTAGTTGAAATTGTTTTTCGCTTCTGAATTTTTGGATTATTAACCGTTCCAGATAGCTGATTTTTATGGAAAGCGGCCGACCAATGAGAAAGTCTCCCAAAATCTCCGGGGGATACCCTCATTAATGGGAAGACCGCTATTTTAATACCGTTTAAATATAGTTCTCTGAAATGATCTGTACATCTTCGCCAGCAGCAATAAATTCCGTAATTTTTTGTTTTCTGTGTTTAAAAGTATCAACATACCTGTAACGTGAGTCCACGGAAAAAATAACTGCACTGATTCTCAAATCGCCAGCATTTCGCAATTTGCAATTATTTGCAAAGAGTACCAAAGATTACCAAGAATTGGACGCAATTGAACTTTCCATGATATCATTTCAGAACGTCCAGATCACAAAGCCAGTTGATATATAGCCGCGCTGTTTTGACATCGTTTAACATTCATCCAATACTTCATGACAAATCTCGATAAAGGCAGATGCCGGAACGTACTTCAAAAAATATTCGTTTAGAAAGTGACTGATTGCTTAAAAGCACTGAGGCGTTAATTAATCCCAAAATATATTTGAAATGGATTCTGAAAAAAAACTGAATTAGTTGATGAACAAACCTATATACTTGAGGTTCTAAGGGTGCGGTCTTATGATTTTATAGGCTATAGATGTAATGAATGAAAGGGGCTCTACGTAAAAAAATAAGCGTCAGTTAGTTAATGATTGAAGTTTTCTGGGTGGCACACTCTCTAAATAAAAAATGGTCGCGTTTGTGGATAGAGCGCTCTGAGCAGCGGTGGATGCAGCTAGCAGTGAGAGACAGTAGAGTGGGATCAACAAATTTTTAATAGATTCAGACAATAGTTGGGATCAACAAATTTTTAATAGATTCCCGGTATCACACAGCTTGCAGAGTATCAAAATGCATGCAGACTCGGTAGCTGCATGTTAAACATTAGCGTGCAAAGTATGTGGAAATATCAACATGAAGCAAAACACCTAATATACTATTCTGCGGTTAGGAATTCAAAATTTGGTAAAACTGTTGCTTCTGGTCCGCAACGGACGAATGTGTTTGAATCCGCCAAAAACTTTTTTACTGAATAAAATTTGGAAAAAATCGAGGGTTACTTGTCAGTAATTCGTCATTGAAACTACTGGGGTGTGAAGAAGTCTTTTCGGTGTTCTCGTCAGATGGTTGCAAACCTTGAGACATTCTTTTGGTCTTTCGGAAGGTAGTATGTAAAACTGCCTGCCATGAGTGCAATTAAAATTATTATGCGGTACGCCCTTCAGCGAGAAATCCCAGCCAGATTTATCCTTCCACCAATGGGCAGATTTCAGTACTACATAAATCAGTGGGAATGCGACGTGCCTTATTTTGGCGAATATAAACTTGCCATAAAATCGATATATTTATTGCTGGTTTATTACTGTCTACCATGGGACTGTCCAGCACAGTCAGTAGAACATTGTTCAAACCGAGAAGCAGGGGGGGGGACTAAAATTCGAGAACTGAATATCATATTTTCACTCCAATTTTCCCAGATCAATGCGGCTAACAATGATGGTCTCATGTGTAGAATTTATTTATGGCATATTTAAAGACAGTCTATTCTAATTAAGACTAACTTGCAGATCAAAATAACTTGTGTTTTAGGTTGGAAATTAGGTGTAATAACGGTATACGAACTCAACCAAAATATTGGCAAAATATATACATCCGGCATGCTGGTACTGCAATTTGCGGTTAAAAACCCCAAAAACTGCTCTGACTATGAGTAATTCAGCCTTTCTAGTCGCTCTTCAAGACAAACATGCTTCGCGAATAGAATTATTTAGCCATCCATCCAAAATTTGATGCTCAGTTAAACTAGAATGATGATAGATGCTTGGGAATTTGGCCTACCTGATCAGCTCTAACAAGCCGATATTCAACTGTGGCCTGTTAAAGAGTTTCGAAGTGTAATGTCATGACAGTACACTTTTATATTTCGAATATCGTACCTACTTGGTGGTCAGGTGCTGGCAACAAATTGAACGGCAGTATGTTATAACCGCGAACCAACTGGAATCACTTGAGTTCTCTAGAATCACCACCTCCATTGACAGCTGAGAGTGTTTACCGGTGTCGGTTTTTAAGGTGGTGTCTGCGGCTTCATAGCACTTGATTTGATCACTACCAGCTTTTGATCCAGCTGAAGAAACTAGAAACAGACGAATTCAACTTTTCCACAACCATGATTTTATCGTTGGGAGGGAAAACAACTTCCATGATGAAGCACAATTTTCCAAAGGAGACTACTCATAAGGTTGCTGAAAACTCTTTGACAGCCAACGACCGGTTTCGCCCTTCTTGAGGCTCATCGGGTAGGCGCAATCTCCGAGTTTCCGTCAACTTCATGTTCTACTTGAACCCAAACCGGACTGTTCTCGAGAAATACACTCATTTGCAAATCACTTTGGTTCTCACGAGAGACTCAACTGAATCTCTCGTTTATGAAATTCTACAACTGAGTGTGCTGCACACAGCAGGCCGCCTGATGTTTCAGTTGGCACGATATTCGAGACATCGCAGTGTATTTTGATAAAGGAAACTACTCACAGGGTAGCTGACAATATAAAATTGAACCTCCAGGATTTGGCGATTGAGGCTCCACAGACTGCACTCGTTGTACACCATGCACCGCTTCTAACGATCGATACGAAATAGCGATTTCGTCGTTCGTACGCGCTTCCGGAAACAGCTTCGTTACAAGCCTATTATTGAATCGGATTAATGTGAGAATCAAACTGGATCGACCCTGGTTGTAAAATTCTGGCAATAAAATTTTTTCACACAAGTCAGATGAGATTCACGGAGCATCGGACCTTGAGTGATTGCACGGGGGTCTTTGGAGATGAACACAATATGTTGCGCAATGCTTTCGAAAGCTGGAATGTCAAAACCCAGCGGCGTATCAGTAATCACCTTTTATTCGGGCCAAAAGTATCACTCCTGACACATTTACGTGGAATGTACTACGATTATGTACGTTTGTTTTGAGCTGGAAGTTAAGCGGTTCAAAGCTGCCAATGAAGTGCTCAAAATATTTTGCCATTTATACAGACATGATTTGATAGCCAAGAAAACCTGTGGAAATCTGCCATGCGTTCTGTCTCCTTGATGGAAGGTTGCAAAGCGGATGGATTATCTGAGGTGGGTGTAGACATTGAGAAAAATGAAAACCTCAGTCTGCTTGCAACATGAATTACTTATGACGTTCCATGTTCGTTTTATCAGCACTAACAGTTTCATGCATCAAACAAAGACTAGGTTTCAAAACAAGCATTTGCAATATCGTTTCTGGTTAACTCTGAGAACCATTCTAAAAGAGCTACGCTGTCGTTAATATTAGGGGAATCAAATATCTTCTGTTATTGATCACGAGTTAGCAGTACTCATAAAATGAACTGAAATGCGCTATATGAATTCTAACCCGGAATCTTTTGACTACAAAATGACAGAAATAGAATTTAGAACATGAAGGGTTTGCAAAACAGCAAGTACTGTCGCTTCCTGGAAACAAAATTCAAGTTGGACTCATTACATGAGTCGGTAAACTTAAATTTTTGCTAGCTGAAATTCATAGTCTGCCCTGGGTTGCATTACAGATTAATAAACGTAGTTTTGCTTACTGTTTTATCATCTATTCAGACTGATAAAGGCTCTTGTTGGCTAGATTTAGTGATTCACGAACTTACTCCGCTAACCTTTCAACAATATGAGCCCCGACATCCGTGTGCCGAAGTCTGATTTTCAATTCTCTGACTTGTGGTTTATATGCCGGTTAGCAGCCTAATTAAACTGTACGCGAATGTCGTTGTGAGATGGCTAGACTCAATGAAAAGCGGTCGTAGAAATGTTGGTTATCTCGATTACCGGAACTCGCCATCTCCGTGGGACAATATGTGTGCAAAGCGCAGCAAAATGAACACGCCTTTGCTCAGAATGTACATTCAATGGGACATTATCAGTCAGTTGCATCGGACAGCATAGCAAGTTCGCAGTTTTCCCATATCCGTCCCTTTGTTGACCCGCATGCCGGTTATTTCGCGCATTGCTTCAAACGTCTAAATAACTTTTCGTTCCACACACACAGAACTATCTATCAAAGCGGCTGTATTAACGAACTGGAGAATTTGGGGACTCATGCAACGGTGTTGTATTAACGGGCGCCTGCGTTTCTCTTTCCTCGTTATCCACTTATCGGAAACATGAGGCCGACTTGTTTAATCTGACAAAAGTGACACAAAGCCAAGTGAAACTGCCTAATGAAGTTGACATTGAGGTGTCTACTTTCAGGCAGGCGGCTTCTGATTATGGGTGACTGCATCGTTAAGGAGCAGTCACGATCTTTGGACAAATTTCCAGACATGGCAGAGACGGGCCACAGAAAGAAAAAAACGTACAAATAAGAGTGTTCCCTTCTACTACATCGGAACCTTGTCCTTTTTACATGGGAATCTCATTACACAGTTCCGATTGGGCTTGAACAAAGAAAGCAAAACTGATACAGTTGACAGAAGATCATTGTGAATTACACTCTGACGCAGTGACAGATACGTATGTGCTTATATTTGTCATGTGTCACAAAGTGTAACTCAAACTACCAAGCATTTGAAGTGATACTCTAACCATTCAAAGGCCTATCACTTCGGGTTTCAGAACATTTGTGCGTTCATATACCAGCCATTCGGTTACTGAATAGCCCCCAGTATTTAAACATAACCAAGGTTCTATACTCAATGCTTAGACGAGGGCGTCCGTTAAATGAGTACGATCTTTGCACAAGTGGCAGTCTGAGTAAGCTTACCGTTGCAGGGACTCTTCATCACCTTCAGGATTAAATACACGGGTCAAAATCATGTACTATTTTGTAAGGTAACTAATAATTCTGATTTTGAACTTTGAGGTAAAATTCCAAGTCGACGGCCTTGTTGATAGCTGGGAGTTTGTTACATGAGTGCGGGGAACCGATAAGACACAGCAGCTTCCCGCGAGCCCGAAGATACACCAACTGACATCCGATGTCGTTTAAATGTAAAGCACTCAAATGACGGTCTCATACTACTTCCCCACAGGCCTTAAGATCTGAACCAAGTCATTGTAGAATGCTGCTTTACCTGTATATCCGTCGTAACGGTTTGGTCTTATACCGATATCACTTTTGACACGAATTGAGTTGATGGGACGAACCAGTTAGAAAGTAATTAAGTATCGGAAATCATTTCCTAAAACTATGTGGAGAGAGGCAATCGACCGAAAGAACACAACTCGTGGACTCATGGGACAATCAAGACTACCAGTGTAACGGTGATACTACTGATGGGGAAGCACGCGAGTAGTATGTGTTGTTCGTAGAATTTCACTTTGCGTCTATTGAAAAAGGGAGAGCTGTTGCGGAATTCGTGGGGCCACTTTGTAACATTTTCTTGGATTTGACCGACAAATGAGTGGAGGCAACGAATCTCTAGGAGGACTCGTTCGGGAGAAGATCTGTGTCCAGTTTTTGTAACTAAGATGCAGATTAGAGTTTTGCTTCCCTGTTCAATGGTCTGTAACCGGTCAGTTGGCATTTCCGAATAAATAACTCCGCAGCGAAGGCCTTCTTCCTTTCACTTGGTGCCGTGACCAGGATAAGGATGAAGATCCCATGGCCGCAACCCTTTGAGGATGGGGATGTTCGGACCTTCCTGGAGGACTTTGAGGAGGTTGCGGAGGCTGCCGGGCTGGAGACCGACCGGGGTAAGTTGGCAGCGCTGAAGACCCTCCTCAGGGGCCGGGCGAAGGCGGCCCTGGATGCGGCCAGAAGAGGCCCTCAGAAGATGGACTGGGCCGCCGCGAAGGAAGTCCTTGCAGCGGAGTTCGACACGCCGGCCGACCGCCAGGAGGCTATGAGGCGGTTCAAGACGGCCAGGATGGCACCCGGATCTGACCCGACCGTGTTCTTCGCCGGCCTGCAGCAGTTGTTGGATCGCGCTTTGCCGACGCTGGACGGAGTGTCGCGACACCAGTTGCTGTCGGATCAGTTCGTCGAAGGTGTGCAGCCCGCGCTTGGTGCCCAGTTGCGGTTGGCACCAGCAACTGGCCAGTTGAGTGTGGAGGAGCTGGTGCGTCTGGCTCGGGAGATGCCCCAGGAACCACTGGCCACGTTGCATTCGCAGGAGAACAGGGATGCTGCATCAGTGGAGGACGTGCAGACCAGGGTGGACCAACTCACCGAACAGCTGGCAGCCGTGAAAACGGAAGAAAGGAAGGATATGATAGAGTTTCCTGTTTTGCATCTTCTGTCCATGCGACAGTAACCTATCCTCATTATCATCATGGGCGTCAAAAGAGCCGGAGCGGAAGTGACGAATTATCCGATTATATCACTTGTTATCAAAAAACGCGCGGGACAGATTGAAACAACATATTACCATATTTTGTACGACGCTTATTCAGTTTTGGGGTTTTTCAGGATAGATATTTTGTTCATAGCCACACCACTCTCGTTTGAACGGTCATCCTCCTGTTCTGGCGTAATTATTCCGGTGAATCCACACCAAAGGCTGGAAGCACTGGACTCGGGTTTCGCCCCTATTAGAGCTCACCAGCAGTGCATATCCAATGGCCGTGCCGGGATTTGAACCCCGGACATCTGACATGCGAGGCGAGCGTGTAACCAATACCCACCATCGCACTTTGGACGCTTATTCAATTAAATCTGAGCAAATCTTACCACAAATTTAATTGGATAATTATCCAAAATTTGGTTGTTTTTTATGATCTCGTCAATTTCTGTCTCTTTTACTGAGAAAAAAGCAAGTGACAGATTTTGGTACGCCGTAAGTTTTAAAAGAGATAATTAAATCCGCAAGAGATTGGATGATGAATGCTATAAAATCTGACTAGAATTAGTTGTAGGTAGTCTCAATCAAATCTTGTGAGTTGGCCAGCCGAAATAATAAAAATCAATAATTTTTTAGCCGTGACGCTCTCATAGTGTGTAGTTACCACGTTACACTGAGGAAGTAAGAGAGCTGAGATACTGCCAGGTTATCCAAGGTCAGATAGGAGTAGTCAAGTCATCGAGGTTGGATTCGATCTGCAGATTTTCGGAGCAATATATTCGCAACCAATCCGTTGAGTAATCACGTGTTTGGAGAATGAAAAATGAAACGCCAACTTTACAAATAGACAATGAAACCTTCTGATGGTTCAGTAATCAGGCGTCATCAGAAACGTGTAATAATGGATGCTTCACTAAGTGCACAGTTTCAATTTTGGCACACGTGTGGGAATTTCTCAAATGTCGACCAACACAGAATAATGAGC